GAAGGCTGGGCCCCCGGCTCCGGGGCGTGTGCTGGGGACGGTGAGGCGTCCCGGTAAGAGCGCGGCTGGAGGAAACACCTGAGCCAACAGGGCACAACTCCTGCCTTTTTTCTCTGTTGCGAGGCCTGGTGTGTCCCACACGCCCGGTCCAGATTTGTTGAATAACAGACGTAATCAGGGAGCTGGTCCCCAGGGGCCAGAAGCCCAGAGTTATGAGGAAGAGCCCGATGGGGCTGGCCGGGGGTACTGTACCTGCCTGGCCCTGGGCTGCCTCTGCCTCTCTCATCTTTGCCAACCGAAGCCTAAGGAGGAGAGAATTAAAGAATGAACGACGTCCTTCCCCCCACCCCCAACTCCCCATCCACTGAGCTGGGTTGTTTATTCATGTTTGCCCAGGGCCTAGTCCTTAAAAGACGCCTGACAGCAATGTTGACAAATAATGACTCTCGGGATGAGCTCCATGTCCGTGGACCTGCCCCCACCCTGGCTGCTCATTTCCCAATCAACACCTGGGAGCATCCCGTCTGCTGCCACTCCCCTCCCCAGGCATCTGTGGCATCGAGGTCTGGGACTTAGCCGCGCCCATGGGAAAGGTGCTGGTCCTGCCCCTTCAGGCATCCTCACAGGGTGACGATGTCGGCATTGGCTGTTTCCATGGCGATGGTCAGAGGGTCCCTGCCTTCAGAGTCCTGAGCTCCCAGGTCAGCTCCCCGTTTCAGGAACAGGCAGGCCAGTCTAGAGAGGAGAGCCAGGTTTAGCAGCAGCTCCGCCCGTCCGGAACCTTCCTCCCCAAGGCCACCATCGCTGTCTGCTACCCAGTGTGGCCAAGGATGGTTGCGTGGTGGAGTGGGCCCCGGCCGCGGCTGTCTGCCTGGTTCACGTTCGCCCCATTCTGGAGGAGAAACTCACAGGCCAGAAGAGAATTCTGCATTGAGAAGCAGAGAAAGGGAGAGAGGGTGGCATCTTTAGAGGCAGATTTACAGATTCATACGGTTCAGAGGGCAGGATATGGGATCAGGAGTTTAGGGGTACACCTAAGTGTCAGGCCCGGCTCTAGCTCTTTACATGTATCAATACATTACACCCACAGTACAGCCTGATGAGGGATGGGGTCCCTAGTTTACAGAGGTTCGTAACTGTACTGGTACATGGCGAGAGCCTGGACTCCAGCTCAGGTTGTTTACCTCCTAATCACTTAGCAACAGTCTTTATTGGTTATCACCCGCTATGAGGCGGGGGAGGGGTAAGAAAGTCAGGAGTAGGGAAGAAGAGAAGGTGACGTGGGGGGTGAGGGGAGGTTGGCTGGACCCTCACAGCAGCTGTGGCTTGGATCAGTGGCGTGGCGTTCTCCTGGCCCGTGTTGACCCAGTTGACATCAGCTCCATGGGCGAGGGCATCAGCCATGGTGGGGAGGGATGGAGGATGCCCAGCAGCTCGAAACAGCAGGGCCCCGGGGTGCAGGCTGCCCAGGTTATCCGAGGGTGGCTCTGTTTAGGGGGAATCAGCTTTGAGTCTGGGAAGAAAACCCTCAGCAAAGTCCCCTGATGCTGCAATGGGGTAGGTCACTGCTCAACTGTGGGGAGGCCTTCAAGATTCTGGGGATTGGTGGGAAGTGGAGGTGTATGTGAGTGTGTGTGTGTGTGTGTGTGGCGTCCCTCGGGCTAGAAAGCATCACCCACCTCTTCCTGTCCAACCACCCTGACTGGCTCGGATGTTGTGGGTGAGTTGACTCACTGAAGATTCGCCTCAACCCTCTTGGCTCCCTCTGCTCCAGCCAAACTCACACCTGCCTTCTCAGGCCTTTGGAGACCCTCGCTCATCCTCCCTGCTGACTTTCCTCACGCGGTTAACTCCCTTACATAGCCCTCCCTGCCTACTCCCAGCCCTATGCTCCTTCCTATTCTTCACTATAAGCCCTAGCCCTCTGACCTTCTAAAACCAGTGCTGATGTGGTCCGGCTCCTCCGCACTCACAAAGGGAAGGCCTGGGCCTAGAACTCTGGACCTCCCGACCAGGTGTGGCCCAGTGCTGAGCACACAGCAGGTGCTCAATGATTGCCCAACCAACCCTATACCTGACTTGGATCTGTAGCCCCCTGGCTGGGGCTTAAGGGAAGGCTTTGGGGGCACAGGAGGCTGCCCCCTCGGAGGCCCCCGGCCACCTCTTCGCCCTCGGATCTCAGGAAGCTTGGTCAGGAACTTCTTCTCCACGTATTTGGCATGAATCCAGGCCTCTTTCTCCTGCCTGAAGGGGTGAGGAGGAGGAGGAGACAGTCTTCCCTCCTCTCGTTCCAGACCCTCCACCCTCCCTGCAAAGAGGGCAGCCAGCCCCTCCCGCCAGCCTCACCGGGAGCAGCTGGGCCCTGGCTTCTTCACGGCCATGGCCTCCACACGGGCCTCGTAGATCTGGTTGATGACGACGTTTCCCAGCTCGCACATAAGCTTCAGGTGCCGAGGCAGAGACAGACGATCAGGTAGGGAGCGGGGAGAGTCTGAGCCCTCGGGCTGTACAGCCCTGCCCTCAACCCATCCAGCCCCCACACTCCTCGTAACACCCCCAAATCACCTTCACTAGTTCCGGCTCCCATGAGTCAAGTGTCAGAGACCGGACTTTGGAGAAATGAACTCCCAGGCTCCTGGAGGGCCAGAGTGGAAGTCAGGCCCTATGTGGGGCAGCCGCTGAGGGAGCAACTGCGGATCCTAAAAGGACTTGGAGACAAGGTCTTGCATGGGGGGCCATGCAGAGGCCCTAGGCCAGGAGGCAGCAGGGCAGCTGGGGTCCTGCAGCCTTGAGCTGCATCTGGCAGGATCCTGCCTATTCACATCCTCTCTTCTCACTTCTCCTACATTTCATTTTAAGGGCCTCATCCTCTCTATCCACCTCCCTTCACTCTTGGCGCTTTGGCCTAGACCAGTGGTCGGCAAACTCATTAGTCAACAGAGCCAAATATCAATAGTACGACGATTGAAATTTCTTTTGAGAGCCAAATTTTTTAAACTTAAACTATATAGGTAGGTACATTATTAACTTAATTAGGGTACTCCTAAGCTGGCCTTTGCTAAAAACATCCTCAATCTGAAGGGTCGACCTCAGCGAATTACCCCCACTTTCTTCTAATGCCACTTCTTCAAAATAGACTCACCCAGGCCGAAAACTGACTTCTGCGCATGGGCCATGAAATTTCAATCGCACTGTACGTGTGCACCCTGAAACTATATAGGTAGGTGCATTGTTATTATCTTAATTAGGGTACTCTTAAGCTGGCCTTTGCTAAAAACGTCCTCAATCTGAGGGGTCGACCTCAGCGAATGTACCCCCACTTCTTCTAACACCACTTCTTCAAAACAGACTCGCCCGGGCCGAAAAACGACTTCTGCGCATAGGCCACGAAGTTTCAATCACACTGTACGTGTGCGCCGCACGTGGTATTTTGTGGAAGAGCCACACTCAAGGGGCCAAAGAGCCACATGAGAGCCGCAGTTTGCTGACCACAGGCCTAGACAACTCTTTCTTGCCATCCTTCTACCAGACTGACTCGGGGTGAGGGCTGTAAAGACTTGCTAAGGCTTCACACCTCTTCTCTCTCTGCTCTTCACTGGCTCACCCATCCGCAGCAGTCCCAACCCCACACCTCCTCCAGTCAAACCAATAAACTACGGTGGGTCCCCTGTCGCTGGCTAGACTGAGAGGCTGGGCCCCCCTGGATCCACCTGGTGCCCCACAGGCTCAGCCCAGGCTTGTGCCCAGTGACAGCCAGAATCTAAGAGAGGAAGCCAGGGCAGGGTGAGGAAGGAAGAGCCTTGTGATGGGTTCTATCTTGGTTCCCCCGGCAGCCAGAAGGAAGGGGGCCCGTGCTTGGGGCTTGGGGGAGTGACCTGTGGATGCCGGAGCACTGAATGCAGAGAGTGACACCAAGGTTGATGCTGGCCCATTCAGGGGCTGGTTCCCGGCAGTCGCAAC